TATTACGGATGGAAGACCTAGCAGGGTAGGCTAGGGAACCAGACGAGCATAGTGGGAAAGTAAGCGAGGCACAAAAATTGTTGCTAATTATAGAATGTTGAAAATATACGAAATTATTATAGTATAGTATGTTACTATCAATAAAATATTGAAAAGAAGCCGAATTATCAGTGTGTTATCACTTACGAAAAATTGCTTACTATACGCCTGCAGTTATGAAAGAAGCTCACATCATCTTACCTCCTCCCCCAGCATACACATCTAACATATGTCGGGGTGCGTCTTATACGCCAGCAAATGCGGGACATTTCAGGGGCCGCCACTTACCCTAATAGTTTTGAAATTCTGAATCAAACAAAACTTGCATCACTGGAATTCATATGAAGGTTTACCTAACCAAGTTCAGGTAAGGCAAAATAATATCTTTTTTTTTCAAAACAATTGCATTTTCATAGCCCATATAAAACTAGATTACGCACCTATTGAATTAGATTTTTTTATGGGCTTACGATTATGTCATAGATCGAGATAACAACAATAATCAATATGTACAATAATGTTACATATACTCGTTTAACACATGGATAAATATCAAATACAATTACTAATTACTAGCAGCATTAAAGATTAGTATTGCACTCAGAATAAGATCATATAATTAATTTCTTTAAATGAAATGTTACAGGTTTCATACCATTCTGTAAGTGAGGAAGTAATTTGTTCCAAAATATGCAACCAAAGTAGGTTATAAACTTTTTACCTTGTTTGAACTTAGGTCTGGCGGTCGTAACTAAGCTCTATTTCTAGTGCTGAAGATGCACGTTCGAACGACTGCATACGTACTTCAGTATTTCTAAGCGATGGGCATTGGGCAGAGTTGTTATTATACAGTGGGCCAGAGTGGTCGTTGAACTATTTGGCAGTACAAAGAGAACCCCGCAGTTCTGCAGGTATGGGTAAACTAGGCTGTGGTAAAGTCCGTTTACTATCTTTTGTTAGATTATCTTTAAATTTACCAGTGATACCGATACATTTATTCAATTTTTTACAAATATGCTGAGCATGATTTTCGATGACACGACGCACACACATATACAAATACATATACATATATATATATATATATATATATATATATATATATATATATATATATATATATATATATATATATGTATATGTATGTATGTATGTATATATATATATATATATATATATATATATATATATATATATATATATATATATATATGTATATATATAAATATATATATATATATATATATATATATATATATATATGTATATATATATATATATATATATATATATATATATATATATATATATATATATATATATATATAAACGTGACTAATATCATGGTAAAATAGCGAAATCGAAGTATCAACGGAGAAAATATTATGTAATGTGTTTTATTGGGATTTAATTTATTGAAGCATAGCCAGTCAATTCGTTACTGACAGTGGCAGATAAACTTACATCTCTGTCACAACAAAAAATACTAGTACCATCAGCAAAGAGGATACTCTTTAAAACATTGGAGACATTTACATAATGTCTTTTATAAGGTAGAAATAACCAAACGGACCCTTCTGGAACCCCATGAGGCACGCTTCACTAGAGTATACTGCAGCTTGCTCACTAGATAATCAGACAACGAACTTTCAGATCTTTAATGACCTTACTTACCTCTGTGGGGTAACACAAGAAAAGCTTTGAGGAAAGGGATAACAACCGCTTAAATAATCTGTTGGACGTGCGTTAGTCCAATGGGTTAGAGTAAGATTATTTAACAAGATTTTTTTTATACTGTTTTTATACTGTCTGCTTGCGTTTTAGACGTAATTTATGATATTTCATTACTCCATTTTAAACACAGTACCGGTCTTCACATACAAAAAAGTAAGAATATGGAACATGAACTAGCCGCCACCTTCCACAGGTGTGCAATAACCTATCGGCCCACGGAGAGAGAAATGTTCTGGTCCAGAGAGAGTTCAGCGTCTTTACCTTTTATAATAGCATCATCATGTCCGTCATTCCACTTATCTTCGTGCTGTTCATGGGAGCTTGGAGTGACAAATATGGCAGGAAGGTAAGTCTAAATCGTTCTTTCTTGGATATATTTATGCTCTGCTAATACACTGAGATTTGCAGTATATTTCAGTTTATACTTATTTGTCTAAACAGATTCCCTTGTTAATAACGCTGACTGCTCATGTAATGTATGCTGGAGGATATCTTTTGAGCAACTGGCAGACGTCTTGGCCCGTCGAGGTCATCTACTTCGTCACCGTCTTGGAGGCTTTGGGCGGCGGCAACGTGGGCCTCTTGTCTACCACCATCAGCTACATCAGTGATATTTGCCCCGAGAAAACTCGCACCTCTCGAATCAGCACAGCTAACTCTCTGTGGTACCTCGGGGGTCCTGTGGGCACTCTAGTTGGAGCGCTAGTCATCGAGTACGGCGGCTATA